TTAATACATGACTTCTCTAATGCATTAGGTTTAAAACTCCTCTTTAAATAGCCTTCATATCATCATGGCTTGGGCTCTTCAATTAAAGAAAACGCAAATCATAAATCATCAACTTCAAATCTTCTGCACATAAATAGGAACTGAATATAAAGTTTTCTAAAAAGGCTTTGAGATCTTTTTTATGAAATACATGAACTTCTGGCATAGACAGATGTTCCTAAATTACTCTCCTTGGATTGCGATAGTGTGTGAACTAAAATAAGAGAGAATCTCACACTTTAAATAAAAAATCTCCTAAACCCTAATTTTCTGGTATAACATGTCTTGACTACATGTCACGACATCGTGTTGATCATGATATCTAACCAACCTATCAAGACATATGACTCAACATCTTGCTGTGAACTTATTTTTAACAAATTTGCTGCCAATCCAAATCCACAGAACTTACATCATGCATTCATGGTGTTTGGACGGTGGTCTGTTTTTTGCGGGTCTCAATCCTATGGTGGGGATTGGGTGCGAGTTTCTGGTTTCAGGTGGGAACTAGTGAAACTACCTATGGTGGTGGTAACGATTTCTAGTGGGCTCTGATCCTATGGTGGGGATCCGAGCGAGTGAACATGAGAGTTCACATTTGGTACCACATGCATTGAGTCATGGTGTTAAGTCACATTGCATTGCATACATGTTGTATTATTATTTCTGGATTGTGTGGATTATGAGTTGTTGGATGGGTGATTATGCATATATTGATGGTGTGCTTACATATTATTATACATTTCTTTATATGATTATGATTTCTCACCCCTTCTGTTTGAATGTTGCCTTTATATGGGTATCGTGCAGATAATCTACAATAGAGGCGTGTATGTGAGTGAAAGAGAGTACTCTTTGTTATGTTATTGTTGAGTTGGCGTCTGCTATGATATGTAACACTAGGGGGTGGAACGCTTATGTATTTTAATTATGTTTAGTGGAGATTTTATGTTAATCTCTTATGTTGAATAAATCATTATGATTACCGTTTATTATGATTATATTTGAATAGTTTAAATAATTAGTTGTTGATACTTTTCTGCTACTAATGAAATGTTGGAGTTCATACATATTTATTATTTTTAAATTTCATTATGTGTTACATATCAAATTGTATGACCTTATTTTAGTTGAAGTATCATCCTAATTGATTGGTGATTTTTTTTTTAAATTACTCTGTTTTTATTTATAATTATACGAAAAAAAAATTAAGGTGTTACATAACTCGTGTAGGGAGAGCTAACGTGTGTCAATATTTGATTCCTCTCTCCTCTTAACTTTAGGATTGATACAATTTAATATTTTTTTTTATTTAACATGAGGGTTGTGTAATAAACAAAATTGTTTTCTAAAATATATTATTTTTTCCTCTCCTTGCTACCAAATATTTCTTTTGATACAATTACATTTGGACGCTTAGCATAGACTAATTATTTCTTTTGTTTTAAAGAAAAGTATAGACTAACCCTAAAAGAACTATTCTACGTGCCTAAAGTGCAAGAAATGTTAGAGCCAACACATTATAGGACCTTTCTAATAAGATATTTCTATATTTAAATAAATGAGTTAGCAATATGCATTGTAGTTAATTAATCACTTACGTGTTTCCCTTTAAGGTTATGTAACGATAATAGTAATACTAGTATTAAAAAAATAGAAGATGATACACTCTATGTAATGTTTCTTTTTTTGGGAAAAGGAAAGTAGTATTATAGATAAGTCCAAAGAACATCGAAGTCATCGATTTTTTTAAAGTTCAGAGAAAGCGATAGAACCATGCACTCTCTGCATTTTCAAAAACAGAAGGCAAAAAGACAATCATAGAAAGTAACTGTTTTTCCTTCCTTCCTTAATTTCACTTTTGGCATTTCTCACTAAATTTAGAAACTAAAAATTCTCTCTTTTTTATTTATTGACAAAGACCATCCACCCCATATCCTATATTCAATCACTCTCTCTAAATATGGTACTGTTTTTAATTACTTTATTTATTTTTTTCTATTTTTTTTATTTTTTATTGTTTTAGTAAAATAAATTTTATGTGGCAAAACAAAAGAGAAAGACGGAGTATTCAATGTTGCATGGGAGAGGAAAGAAAAATTGATTCCAAGGGGCCCACTATTTTTAACCTTAGTACTAAGAAAGGAAAAAATGAATATATTAAGGTTACTTTTCTAAACCTTATAGTCCCCAAAAAAGCAAACTATTCATAATGCTACTGTACTTCCCCAAATAAGGTTTCAGGCTAATGGCTATTACTAGAACTAGGTGCCATTTGCAGCAATTACTCATTGATTAAATAAAATCAGATTAAGCAAAAGATGAAATATTTATAAAAAAATTCATAAAATTTGTAAACTTATATGAATTTTAACTAATATAAGATGCAGTATTAAAATGTGTATTATATGTTCAAAGGGTACTAACCAAGGAATAAATTTAAGCTTTCAAAAAATGAATATCACTCCTGTTTTGAAATATAAATTCCCTTGGGTTTTATTTCTTAATCCTTTAAATTTTAAACTATAATAGTTATGTTTCAAAAAAATGTTAATGAATTTGTTCTCATAAATATAATAAACTTGAAAAACGAGACAAATAAAAATCTAATTGTTAAAATTTTTAAGTTAAATTTATATTTAAATCTACAAATTTACAAGTTTTTCAAGTTTAATTCTTGTTAAATTTTAATTAAAATTTTAGTTCTCTATAATATTATAGTTATTTTAGAGTAATTTCTATTTTAATTTAAATACTTTTTTAATAAAAATATTTCTTTTTTTGAAAAAACAAAATAAAATATACACTAACAATAAGAAAAAATTCAATCTAATATAAAATATATCAAAATTGAAAAAAAAAAATCTAAAATAACAATCTAAAATTTTGAAGAAATCAACAAAAAGCAACATAGTAAGTTAACCTACTTAACTGGTAATTATAATAGAAAATAACATATATCGATTTAACCATAAAAATGAAAGAAATTGCAATCTTTTAGATAATGCATGCAATTGTTTCAATTTATTTAGATAATATGTCTATTTCATTCTTTTCATATAATTCAAATCACCGCAAATCAAATAATGTTAAAAGCCACCTGAATTTTTTCTTCTTCAAACAATCACAAAGTCTGCCGGGTTGCTATAGATGATCCCGACCATTCATTAAAATGTTCAAAAGAACCCTAACCAATCAAGAATAATATAGACTACAAACTATCGGAAAAAATCACATGTTATAAATAAATAATCTTTATCTTCATTCACATCATAATTCGTCACATATTTTTTTATCATTCGTGACAAAAATCCATCTTCTAATCAGATATCTTTTGTCAACCAATCAAAATAAACACCTTAAACCGAATATTTCTAATTCTTATATAATACAAATTGAGACTATCAATGAATACATATTAATTTAAAACTAAAAAACTTAAGAAATCATAATTTTTGTGGGAATTAAAAATAAATTTAAACAACAAATTTAATTTTTTAATCACCTAATTTAAAATGACATATCTATTTTAAAATTTTAAAACAATATTTTTTTAGTTAAATTTTTTAAAACACTCCATTTTAATATTTTCACTTGTACTTATGATAAATGTAAATACACTAATACATGATAAAAATACTTACCAAAAATGTAATTCTATATATTTTTTATTTATAGACTTTTTGTAGTTTGTGTGAAATGATCAATGAGTCAAATAATTTTGGATGAAGAGTGTTTGTTTTCAACAATATTTATAAATATTTTCTGACTAATATGCTCTTATATATAGTATTTCAACTTATTTATTTACTCTTAATTACTGTCTATAAAATTATTTTTATAAATAATTTTTTTTTTTTTACGGAAAACTTTATTTTATCATTAAAATCAATATAACTAATATTTTTAAAAAGTATATGAAAGTCAATAAATTGTATTTTCAAAGATAAACACGTCATTTTAATAAATAAAATTTACTGTCATTCAATTTTTTTTAAATACACGTTATTTTTATTTTTTAATATATAATTATTTGTTTATTCACTTTTCAATCTTCTTCAATTTAGTAGCTCAGTATTTTTTTTTCAATTGCATATACTTACTTGCATAGTATTTTTTTTTCAATTGTGTCTTTTAACTAACATCATATAAATAACTTATAGAGTATATTATATTTTGTGAAAAATAAAACAATAAATATTAATAATATCATAAAAGTGTCATTTATTTTAATAATTTTATTATATATTTTAATTTATAGTTTTTTAAATAATATTAATTTTAAAGCACATAAAATAATATATACTATATCTTATCTTAAATAAAGCAAAAAAAAATCAAATGTATTTAATTCAAAATCAGACCAAATCCATTTGACATTGCCATATTAATTAGAGTGATGTAAAGTAACAATAGCAGCCAAAAAGATAAGTGGACTATTTAATAAATAATTACAAAGATATTCAAAAATCATAAATATATATTTTTAAATATGAATAAAACACCTATAATAATAAAATAGTAAAGAATATAATTTAATCAATCCATTTATAAAATAAAAACAAAACAAAAAAACACAATATAAAAAATAAAAAAAAAGAGGATGGGACCCACAATAGAGGCCCAATACACTGAAAATCACCTAAAAATGTATCAGAAAAATGAAATATTAAAAAAAAAAAAAGTCATGCACAACTCTATAAAAAGTACAGAGCCATGCAAAGTTGCCGTTTCAAGCATTGGCCATTTGGGGTAAAAAACGCTCTTTTCTTTCTCTCTCTCTTTCTCTCTTTACCCTCTTTATCTTCTCCGCCAATTTTTCTATCCCTTTTCCTAACTAATGCACAACAAATAAACCCTTCTCATAGGCCAAAAGGGTTGTGCTATTTTACCACTAAAGGAACCATTTTTATTTTCTACTTTTTGATCATTTGGGTATTCTGGGTTTTGAGAATCAAGAGATGGGTAGGGGGAAAATTGAGATTAAAAGAATTGAAAATTCTAATAGCAGACAAGTTACATTTTCAAAGAGAAGAACTGGCTTGTTGAAGAAGGCTCAGGAGCTTGCTATTCTATGTGATGCTGAGGTTGCTGTTATCATTTTTTCAAACACAGGGAAGCTTTTTGAGTTTTCTAGTTCTGGGTATGTTTCTAACTTTTTTTTTTAAAATTTTTTTATTTTAATATCATGCATGTTAATTAGTTTTTTTTTTTTGAGTTTTCGTTGTGACTTTTTCAAATGTATGTTTAATCTTTTTCTAGCTGTTTGTTTTTCTTGTTCTTAATTGTTGCATGTAAAAAGATTTCTTTTTTGTTTTTGTATATTAGAATTTTGATTTCGTTATTTTTTAGGGTAATTCAGATAAGTTTGAATTTCAACTTTTTTTTTTTTTGATTTTATGTTTTGTATCAAAGTTACATATATATTTTTCACTGTTTCATCTGGATTTTCTTTGACCTTACTCATTGTGGAATTTGTGTTTGTTTTCTCTGGCTAGGAAACATCACTTTGCAATAACTGCTATTCACTTTCTATGTTTTGTTCATTATGAATATGATGGATTTGGCTCCACCAAAGTGAAGATTTGGTTTTAAAGAACAATATAAATGAGCATATGTTTGCATTCACATGCGGTGAATCGGTCCATAAACGCGGAAACAAACAAACAGCCGATGCATTGTGAATGTGTTGAAATATCAGCGGATGGGATGGTTGAGATTATTTACTTTACCCTTTGAAGTGAATCTTTCACTTTGGAGAAGCTGAATCCATCTACAATAGTGTTTAGGATGAGTTTGCAAAGCTTTAGGTTTTTCTAAAAGAAAACTATGGCCCCTGTTAGTTGATGAATGACATTGTCAATAATTAAGATGAGCAAGAACAATAACTATTGTTTTAATGTTTTTCAAATTGCCTTCTTTATTGTGCGTTTCAAGCTTAGTTATGCTACATTCCTGTTAACCACGCCAATGTGTTTTGTTTTATACTTGCAGTATGAAGCGAACACTTTCAAGATACAACAAATGCACGGATTCTTCGGAGAGTGCATCAGTGGAATATAAAGCAGAGGTAATCATTAAGCAGTAATAGTTACAGATGATTGATTGAACAATTCCGTTTGAATCTAGTTTTAAATTCGTCTTTAGATACTTCCGATTTACTTGTTGATTCATTGTTGTGTTTTAATGTCTTATGACTAGTGCTTTCTTCAGAAGGAAGATTCTAAGATGGTGGAGATTCTTAAAGATGAAGTTGCAAAACTAGAAACAAATCAATTGTATGTGCCTTTTTTCAATCTTTTTACATTTCTTATGCCATTTTCATTTGCATTACTTTTTATGATCATTTTCGTTTGTGATGACAGACGGTTGTTAGGAAAGGACTTAGCAGGATTGGGATTAAAGGAACTGCAACTTCTAGAGCAGCAAATTAACGAAGCCTTATCATCCGTGAAGGAGAAGAAGGTTCTTATCTTAACACTTCCTATTTTTTTTTGTCTTTCTTCACCCATCACACCAGTGTTATCAAATATCAGTCCTGTGTTGCCATGGCTGATTGCGGTGGCGTATTTTTTAACAACTGCTATAGGCAATTTGTGAAGGACGGTGGCCCCATAGCAGATTTCTGCCTTTCTGAAATGGTTTGCCGTCCACAACCACTGATAACACTGCGCCGCACCAAAATCAAGTCCTGCTATAAGGTTATTGCTCATAAAAATATACCAGACCTTTAATCATTTACATCTGTTCTTACAGGAAAAATTACTTATGGAGCAACTGGAGCAGTCTAGGATACAGGTCTGTTGAAATCACTAGTTTACATTAAAAGTTTTATTAAATTGGAAAGCGCTCTTCGTAAACCAGTCTTTAATTCTTAATCTTTCTAATAGAGAATTCAGTCCATGTATGCAAACTGAAAATATAGTTCTTGTGTGTTTGGTTTAATGTTATCAAATAGCTGCTATATATTTTTCGATTTTTTTCATATGTTCTGTTTTTTTTCTTCATTTCTTTCGTGTCTCTCTCATATTGGTTATTATTTACTTTCTCTTCTCCTTTCCTATTCAATTTCTTTATTCTCCTCATGTTCTCTTTTTTTTTTTCGTTCCTTTCATCTTTCCTCTTTTTTATGTCGGTTTGTTTACTTTTCCTTCTCTTCTGCTACACAAATTCTTTCTTCTCCTTCTATTACTCACACAGTAGATTTTTGGCATAATGTTATTTTTCGTATCTGCTATTGATAACACTATAATCACACATAAAGAAAAATTCAAGGAATGGAAACTTCGAAGTTGCTTCACTGGGTGATGATACGGTGCAACTATTGATGTGTCCATTATTCGAGTATTACAAATGGCTTTTTCTTGTCCTGGTTTATCTTTTCATTCTGATCATTGTTTGATTTTATTCATTCCAGGAGCAAAAGGCTATGCTGGAGAATGAAACTTTGCGCAGACAGGTAATAGAATTCTTCATATGATTTTATTCTTCTGGCATTTCCATTTTTGAATGATAGATTAATCATTATAACTTTGTGCTTTTTCCAATCACTATTATATTACAGGTTGAGGAGCTTCGGTGCTTGTTTCCGATGACAGAACATGTGATTCCAAATTATCTTCAGTATCACCATCTGGAAAGAAATAATTCATTTGTAGATAATGGTGTTAAATGTCCCAGCTTGGCAAGAAGCTGCTCGAATGACAAAGGAGATTCAGACACCACATTGCATTTAGGGTATTATTCTTTTCTATCACCAAACAACTAAGCTGCATCCAAACTTAGTCAACATTGTTATAGAATACTGCTATAGCAGGTGCAGGTCTTATAAAGCTATAGAATACTGCTGTAGCAGGTGCAGGTCTTATAAAGCGGTTGCAGTCATGCCCTGATTCTTGATATTGCAATCAAATTTGGTCGTCATGCAGTTGTGGTTGTAGAAACCTTGAAAACTTCGACATTGCAGCTGTAATCACGGTCGATGACCCTAATTTAAAATTATTTACTTTAAATCTATGAGGAACTAACACAGACACACTGCACTTACATGTAGGCACCGAAGATAATTAAATAAAATTGGAAGTGATTGAATATAGCATATATCTGTGATTTCTTAGGGTCCAACACAGACACATCTGATTTTGCAAAATTGGAAGTGATTGAATATAGCATATATCTTTGATTTCTTAGGGTCCAACACAGACACATATCTGATTTTGCTGCATGTTTTGCAGGTTACCAACTGATGTTCATCACAAGAGGAAGACTCCTGAGAAAAAAACCTTTTCTAATGATTCATAGAGTCAGATGGCTTTACTGATCCGGTTCTGTTGAAAAGTTGAATTTGAGACTAATTTAGTGCAGGTGTAGTTGTGCACAGTGTCAGTTTAGATGACATAGGAAATGTAGGATTATTGTAGGTGACAACCAAATTATAAGTTTAGAATTTGGCTCTTCTCTTTGAGGAGTGGTTAATGGTTTTGCCAAATTTTGGGACAATGGGCTGTAAAAATCTCAAATTATGAACCTTGTTTAAGTTATCATCAAGAATATGCTTAATGCAAATTCATCTTGCTTTATGTTTCACTTTACCTTTAATGAGTAATGTTAAATTTTATGCGCATGTATTTGCAAACAAATCACTTGTATTTGATTTTACAGGACTTTACAATAATCATACAATTCACAAACATTTTAAAAGAAAACTTGCAAGTTGCAAGCTATGAATCTTCACAAGGAAAATCAAGTAAACAAATTTCTAGTATTGTTTCCTAAGTTGATCAATCAAGTCAGTTCTCAGAGCCATTACCTTTGTAAAAAGACCATCCACCTCAGCTTTTACACCATCAGATACCTCCACAAACTTGTTCAGCTTTGTCTCCAATTCCTTAGCTGCGTCATGTTTCACTTCATCTGAAGCCTCAAGAATGGAATCTACAGCATCATTCACCTCCTTTACCTCCTTCAACATGAAACTTTTCTCACCTAACCCTTCACTGATTCTTGAATCAAGTGTGAAAATCAAAGAACCATCAAACCCACCAACCATTTTCTTAACCTCAATATATGGCTTAACATCACTACACAAACCAGATAACAAAATCCCACAAACCCAAAAACCAATACTCTTCAATTCCTTCACACCTTCATTAACAACGAACTCCTTCCCATTAAAAAACTTCACTTTACCATTTTTTTCACACAGCTTTTCACCAAATTTTGTATTCAAACAGCTAGGTTGAATTGCTTTGGGATAATGATGATGACTTGTAGTCAAAGATTGTGAATTCTCATTCTCAAACACCTTCAAGGCATGAATCAGAGAAAGCCTAGCCTTTTCAAGATGAGAAAGAGAAGAAGAAATTGAATTGAAAAGCTCTAGCAAACACAAACTGTAGCTGAGATACTCTTCAATAGAATCACCCTCCCATTTACTCATTGGATAATCTATCTCCACAGTAAGCTTTTCAAAAGCCTTGTTGATCAAGGGAAAGATTCCAAGGCATTTTTGAATCCAAAACAAGGATATGACTTCCGATCCAAGTCCTAATTCGTCGATCAATTTTGAAACTTGGGATCGAAAAGCCTTCAGGGATGCTGATAACTCATCAGCTTCATGGTGATGATGATCATGATTCTCCAGCTTGTTGTAGAGTTTTGCGAATTTCTGGCCTAAGAGTGCTACCATGGATTATAACAAATAACAACACAAAGAAGATGTATATAACTTTGTGGTTTACAACTAGAATTCAAAGACAAAAAGGTTTGAAAGTTCGGTTGTTTATATATAGATGATAACTTCAAAGTTTCTGTCACTTGATCTTATTATAAATGTTATTTACTCGTTTTACAAATAAATTAACATTTTATAATGAGACTTTTAATAAAGTTGTGGTTGCAAAGCACGTAATTACCCATAGAAAACTGATTTGGCGGCGGTGAAAAATGTGGCCATGAATTATATGATACTTTATGATAAGCTTGTTGGTTGTATAGTATTTTTTACTAGAAGGATATGTTAAGATATTGAATTTCTCTTAATCTTGATAGTTAATATTTTGTCTTTGCGTGAGCTTTAATCCAACTCATAGTGTGTTGGTTTTGCGTGTAAAGTTGTTAAATCAAAGTTTGGAAAAGGTTATATAAAAGAAACTTTTGCAATTGGGTCAACTTGATCTGGCCTTCAATGAAAAGCTTCATAAGGCTGGAGCGTATTTGGTAGCACATGACACATGTTATTGAAAACAAATAATGGAACGAGACTCGTATAGATTGCGTCCAAAGATTCATTTTCAAAAATTGAGAGGTATTTTTAGAATTTCATAGGATTTTTTTCCACCTTATAAGATGGGATAAAAAATTCTCATAATTGAATATAACTATGGACATATCTGCCACATTTAGATCTATCCCATAAAAATTCTAGAAAAATAGTAGACATTGCAACTTTTAAATTTAAAAATACAAAAATTTATGTTAATATCAGCGTCCGCCAAAGTCTACCTAAACATTAGGATAGAGCGGAATAGATACATGAGAGAGTCTAAACCTTAAATATTGGTCTGTACAGATAAAACAACATTGGCCAATGGACCGAATCCATTTCGTCATCCTTTAAATATAATTTAGATTAATTGTTATTTCATAATATCTTACAAATTGTGAAATTTTTGTTTGGTACTAGTAGAATAGAAACACATAATCGTGAAGTTTGTGAAGTTATTACATAGTTTATATATGAGGATAAATAAACGTGCCTACTTGTTGATGTTGCTAATTCCAAATTCGAGATAGGACCACAAAAACCAAATCCAAAAACAGCAGCAAAAGGTCAATAAAACAAACACATAATCCGTGTGCTATAAAAAAACTCATACCTAAGTTTAACTTTTCCATATTTTCTTCTTTTTACAATACCGCGACAGTGAAAGAGGCTACTATTAAGTCCTTATCAATAGGGCATTGTTAAGGATACTCTTTTTTATCACTCTTTGTTGGAATAATATTTTTGAGTTAAAAAAAATTGTTTTTTCCCAGCCGAAGAAATTAATGAGATAAGTCATAGATTAAATTATTGTTAAGAGGTTTTATGATATTGTCCAAATACATATAAATAAATTATTAATCATGATTAGTCATAAATGAAAAAGATAGTTATAAATGTATTGCGTTTTTGATGCACCTTAAGATAAAAAATAGAGAAGAAAATAATTATTTAATAACCAAATAGCAACAAGGAAAAGAAGAGAAAAATGAGCTTGATAACTCACGTTTTATGGAGTGCTTTAAAAAGAAAGCACTGCCTATATGATGTTGGAAACTAATCAAGATGTGTAGATTAAATAACATGAGAATTCTCATTTTTTTCCATTTCATACATGCATAATTTTTCAAGACTCTCTTTAACCCCCACTCTTTTATAGGATAAAACATGTGTATCATTCACTTTTAGAATGAATCTCACCTGAAATGGTGTATTTCCCATGTATTTTATTCAATAAAAAATGAATGATAGATGTTGCGGTGAAAATAGGATATCAAACTATTAATTAGTTTGAATCACAATTTTTGATTAACAACCGCTCTTTGATTTATCCGAAGGAAAATGTCAAAAGAAGGAAAAAACTTATTTTTGCATCGTAAACACAATGCGGGGAGAGACCTAAGTAAGAGGTTAGTTAAGCTTAGGGAAGGTAATAGTACCCTAAACTTCTGTAGTACTCTATAGGAACCTTTTATTTATTTTTGCTATTTTTGCTTTATTATCTGCTTTAAGTATATACTGGGCTTAAGGGATAGAGTGACCTAAAATACCTAAGGGTTAGTCCTAAATTTACTCGGCAAGACTCGCATCTTGTGCCTACGTATCCTCACTGGACAGGGAATGAAATCAGAGTAATCGTAGTTCCCCTCGAAAGGGAGGTTAGAAACGTCTTGACGGTGATCAAGGTTTCAATGGGGAGTAAACATTTCTTAGGGAAACGCTTACGTGGAGTTTTGAAACTCCTATTTCTACGTTGAAATAGTTAATTAAAAATTAGGGTTGACTAAATGTTCCACGGCGGGAAATCCTAAAACAGAGTACGACGACTCTTTGACCTAATGCTAGGGTAAATGGCGTTTTCGTCCACGGCGGGACACCTAGGCTATTAGGGTTTCGGAAAGTTCAAAGGAGAGGACTATTGACTCGGCGGTCAAACGGTTTAGACCTAATCTTTTGGAGGATTACGGTAGAATAAAACATGCACGCAAACGAATTATTACATGGCAGGCATAAAAGATACGAAAATAAAGAAACGGTAAATGAAAGCATCGCGACGATCACTCGCGTAAATTACAAATCCCAAAAACCATAAAAAAGAAATAACCGCGAACAACCCTCACATAATTACAACCGAAACAAACAGTACGGACAAAATATCTTATTAACACGCTGAAATGAACAGGCAAATGGGGTTAGACAGAAATTGAAGCGGCTAGAACCAGAGTTTTATTTTTGTATTTTTATTTAAAGAGAAATGTAAATATTTTGCATTTTTAAAGCTTAAAAGAAAATGTTTTAATTTTGGATATTTTTTAGAAAACACTTGTGCTAATTTAATTAAAAAAAATGTTTTAAGTTTAGATGAGGCAAAATTGTTTTAATTTTATGGTAATAAAAAATGATTTAAGGCTAATGTACAAAAAAAGTTTTAATTTTAAAGTTTAATTTCAATTACAAAAATGCTTCAAACCTTAATTATGAATAATATTTTTAGGTTTTAATTATGAAAAATATTTTTAGGTTTTAATTATGAAAAAAATGTTTTTAAGTTAATTTATAAAAAGAGTTTAAATTAAAAAGGGGCCTAAGTTAGTTTATAAAAGGAGTTTTTGAATTAAAAAATCTAAGTTAGAGAAAAATTAAACCAACTAATTATCTTTCCACTAATAATGACTTAGCTTACATAAGTAATACCTGACATAAAAGTGAAATATAAATAAAATAAAGAAAAACAAAAGAAAATAAAAAGGGAAAATGAAAAAATAGAAATAAGTAAAACGAAAATAGATAAGAGGGTGGGAACTGATGGTTTGGTCCTTCCATTTTTAGGGTTTACTTAGAAACCCATCTTCTTCTTTCCTCAAACGGCCGGCGGCGGAAGCCATTGATGGCTTCTTTGAGCATTTCTCCTCTTCGTCCACATGCACGTGCCTCGCTTCCCCTTGCTGATGCTACATTCTTCTACTTTTCTACCTGAAACAACGAAAATGAGTGAAACAAAAAATGGTTATCCTTACCCAACCTTAGATCAACGATGTCTTGGCGTTGTCGGCTGTGGATTTGCGTTGGCCGCCGGAAGCTTCGATCCGGTGATGGTGATGGACTTACGGTTCGTCGCCACCGTGTTGATTCTTCCGGAACGGTGACGATCCGTTTTCGCTCTTCTCTCTCCGGCGATGATGATTTCGTTGAAATTTGAGCCTCTGAGCTTCAAACTCGATGAAGTTTTTAACCTCAGTGGAGTTCACAGACGGTGATGCGTCGTTCCTCTTCTTCTTCGGATCGCGGTGATGATGAAGGACTTTGATCCTTCTGAACCTCCAATGGGTTGCGCCGTTTTTGGTTCCTCTTAGGGTTTTTTTTATCCCCTTTTTGAATCCTTATGACGCTCTTATATGTTGTTTTTCTTGTGGGCTTTTGTGAAACTTAAGGTCGGATCCGGATGGGAGCTTGTTGCGATTTGTGGCTATTGTTGTTGCAAAGATGATGGCGAGATGGATACGAATTCGTTATGTTGTTTGCTGTTATTCTGGGAGAAGTTGTCGCTGTTGTTTTGACTGAACTTGGCTTGAATTTGTTTTAGATTTGATTGCTGAAAACGTTTGTTGACTTGGCTTGCAGCTTTTGTGGAAATTTCTTGATTTGTTGGGCTTTGATCCTCTTTACCCAGAACTTGCGTGGAAATTTGTTTGCCCAAAATCACTTTTGGTTGAATAAGTGCTTTTTTCCAAAAGCACTTTTTTGGATAAGCGCTTGTTTTACCAAACAGCTTTTTTCAAAAGCACTTTTTTATCTCTCTTTCTCGGTTGCCTCATTTGAACAGTTGTTGCCTGATTCTTGCCTTTGGGTCGGAAATAAAGTCGGGAGCCGACTTCGGAGTAATCTGTTGCCCTCCCGACACACCCAATGATGACACTGTTCTAAAGGTGTCGGAGTCCCACTCTAACCGATTATTTTTTGTTCGTTTTGATTTGCAGGTTCGGAGCGTTAATCGGAAAAGTCGGAAAGAGTCGAAGAAGATCGGAAGAAACTTAAGAATATTAGAAATTTAATTTTTTTTTGCAATTTTGTATTTTTTGTAATTTTAATTTTTATTATTTTTCCTTGTAAAAAATTCTTATTATTTCTAATAAAATTCTTTACTATTCTCTTAAACATTATTAATATTATTATTTTTTATATACATTTTTTTGATATGCAAACAAATAACAAAACTAATAAAACAAAACTTAACATAAAAATGCATGAAATTAATTGATACTTAAAAATACAGATGAAAATGGTTTTAAAAATGAAAAAATAAATAAATAAATGAAAATAAATTACCTAAAATGAAATAAGACCAAAAAATAAAATAGAAATGAAATTGATGATTGATTTAGTGATTAATTAAAAAAACAATGAAATGAATCTTAATAAGGAAA